GTATAAAAATAATTCAGCACGACGACCAATTACTCAACCTTGGTTGAAAAAAATTTTTTCTTTGAATTTGTCAACTACGAAACCTCATTATTGCTAAGCGTTATTAATATCTCTACTATAAATTCTAATAATTAACCTAAGACCTAAATGATAAGTAAATGCAAGTATTTGTAAATAATCAAACTAAAAAAGAAGAATAATAATAATAAAATATTCTTACCATAAACTTAATATTCTGTTACAACGAACTAAATTTTTTTATAAATTTCTTTTTTTTTTTTTTAAAGAGTTATATAATATTCATCCCTTTTAAATTATCAAAAATTATATCTTAATACTTGTATCGTTCAGAGGTTCAGGTGTGAGATTCATTTTTTTTTTTTCGATTGTGATGCCGAATCATGCAGTTTATACTGTATGTGCCGAAAAAAGTAATCAGTGATTCAGCCGACTCACATGACAGATTTACAATTAAATAGCTAAATGTTTGCCGAATTAACAGATGACCTTGAAAGCAAATTTAATTGGAATTAATGATAATTTATTAGTGGATAAATACAATGATGAGCTAGGAAATTTCATTATTTGAAGTGTTCATTGAAAATATATTTTTTTGAGGTTGTAATGCTTATGGTAATGATCATAAATAGTTTAATGATAATATGGACTTGATTTACTTGATTTTACGAATAGTAGAAAATTAAATTTATGCTATTTCATCTCAAAATGCAAGAGATTTATGATCAATTGAATGTTTTAGAATCCATTCATATTCTTTAAATTGAGATCTTTGTTTATGAATGAAATATTATATATTGAATCATAGGAGACGAACATAATGAACAAAAATGACAATTAAAACGACAATTATTTAAATTTATTATGAAATATCGTTAAAAAGATTAGATATTTTGATTCGGGTATACATGATGATAATATTTATTTATTCATTGGAAATAATCTGTAACAAATTACATAATATTTATAAATAATCATTTACAGTATTAATAAATATACACTGGGATAAGATAATGAATGTATTTATGTATTAAATTACGGTTCTCGATTCATGTATAGGAAAAATTTATAGACTTCCAACACTTTCCAAGCAAAAACACTCGTACAAAGCGCAAACAGAAAGCTAGGTTTCAGCGTCATTGTGCACGAATCTTCAAACTAGGAAAAAAGATGCCATCACATCTTTGAAGATAGATTAATAGCTGCAAAACGATCTCGTTTCTTATTCTTAGAATCACAGTATATTGACAAACCTATCCAGCACCTGAAATATTCCACATGGACTCAACTTCCTGACGCGCAAGATTATCCTTTTTTAGCCCCTCTCTTTTCATTCTTACATAAGACGCAAACATACACAAACACCTTCGATGGCTCCTCATGATGAACACTCGCCAGCGTCAGAAATGACACCTACAAACATAGAAATCGACAGGGCCATTGATACTGTTGCCTTATCGGCAACAGTTCCTATGAACACTGTTCAATTTTTCTTTCAATTCCGCTGAGTCGCCAATTTTACCGTTATATCATACGGTTGAAAATTTTAATCCCAGAACCTTCCAGTGTACATGTTCCTACTGAATTAATACCTTTTATTCCTAAAAGACCTATTATTCAAATTCAGGCCACACATATTACCCTCCAGGTTCGCCTCAATGGTTCTCTCATTTAAAGAAACAGCATTCAAATCATATCAAATCTGAAAAAGGACAAAGTGCGGGCAATTGACAACAGGAATCAACAATTGAAAAATGAACAATACTCAAAGAAAGAGCCTCATTTCACGGTACGAGTGTTAAAAACTCAAACGCCGGAGCCTCTTTACAGATGATCTCAGTCTATATCAAACACGTTACCATGATTGAATGAAAACCTTTGAAACTAGACGTAAAAAATTTCGAAACAAGGTTCCAAGACTTGAACAATTAGAAAAAGAAATTGCTACATTTAAATTAGATTATTTTGACGTAGCACCTTAGACGGCATGGATTTATTATAAGGATCGTTCCGATACGTCTGATGACACGAATCAAGACCCAACAAACGGATTTCCGATGCTAACACTAACCTTACTCCCTTCCACATCACGAATACTACCAAGAAGACGCGTCCGTCACCAGGTTCCCACATGACTCACCTGCCGGACCGTCGAAACCGTATTAGAATTAGTTCTTCTTTTTTTTATCACTTTTAATGAGTCATTTATAACATATTTGTAGTCTTCTTTACTACCACATTGACATTCAAACAATTTAGAATAGTGTAAATCACTCCGTCTCTAATAGTATTGACAGGTGGTAACTTTCGAGATGAAAGCAAAATACAGGTATTTTATAGATTGCGTTTTATTTTTATTCCCTAGCCTTTTTTTCTCGTGTGTTATGGGCGGGGGCGCTCCTAGGAGGGTGGCGCTGTCTTATGACGGTTTAGCTCAATTTTATATAAAAAAACGCCGAAACGTTTTTTTTGTACCTGATTGGTGACCGATTGGTGACTGATTGCACGTAGTTGCATTTGGCTTACGTGTAGTTCTTCCTTGTAATCTCGATCGTGGCTTTGTTCACGTGGAATTTAAAAATAAAAATAAAAAAATTATTTTATCATTATCATTGCATCAGGTTCGAAATATAAACAGTTACCGATAAAAAGAATACTATAATAGTTAAAGGATGGGTCTATTGATACGTGAAGAAAACTGCAATTACAGGACTAATCGAATAGGTGGACATATATATCATGGACAATGGGATATTTTGCGTACACGGCAACTAATCCAGTAACACTTTTTCATCTAGTGACTTGATATTTCTGGCTCATTTAATTTCATTATATATTTTACAGCCAAAAGACACGATCGGTAAAAGGTAATTTATTGGTTTTTACAAATTAATTTTATCCCGGCAAGCTTTTTTATTAAAATGCTTTACCAAAATGTAGTGGATCAGTAGTGTTTGCTAATACTAGTGGCGACTTTGAAATGATAATTTTTTTTTTTTAATTAAGTATGATACTACAATATTACTTAAATTTACATATTTTAAACACACAAATTAGTTTTTACATCGGTCAAAACTTATTTATTATTGCAAAGTACTTGTTACAATGTTACAATTGTTACATCATGGGTAAGTCCCACCATTGTGCGTCCGCATCACGTTTATAATTTAATGCTTCTGCGTCTGCATCACGTTTATAATTACCAGGTGCTGCATCTATGTCAGTAACGAATCAAATTATAAATTATTATTAAAAATTCATTAGTTAATAATTAATATTAATATAAAGAGAAAATTTTTTTTAAATATGTGATTATTTACTCGCTAAAGCAATAGTAAAGGCGAAAATCAACAGTAAATGTGATAATTGCATGATTTATTAGTGTGTTATTTATAATTTTTAATTTCTCAGTTGTTTGTTAATTATTTGGAAGAAATTTAAGAAATTTTTTCTTCTCTTTCTCAGTGGTTATATAAGAAAATTTTTCTATAATAGTACGTATTTCAAAGTACTTTAAAATTATATTTTTAATATTATTATAAATGATGAGGTGTACAAGAGTATTTTTGCCACGTTTTTCTGTATTGCGCCATGTTAAAATTTAGTGTTGAAGAGCAAAGCCAATTTAATAAGTGAAAATGGGGCGAACCGGTGAAGTAAAGGATATGTATAAAAGTATTTTTGCCACGTTTTCTGTATTGCGCCACGTTAAATTTAGTGTTGAAAAGCAAAGCGAATTATGTGCGTGTATAGAAGAATTTTTGTCACGTTTTTCAGTATTTCGAAATGATGTTAAAATGAAAATTTTTGCCACGTTTTTCTGACGGGCAATATATATTACGTAATGGCGCCTGTAATTATCCAAAAAAGGAAGGACCTGCTCGTTACTTTTTGGTATTGATCAAAAGTTTTAATTCGTGATCCGTGAGTCAAGTCAGTCAACTGCAAAAAAATTCATATATGATTTTGGCACAAATTTGTGTCGATCATTAGTAATTTTTTTCTGATACCCGATTTTCATTTCTTAATTAATGCTCTTTACGTAAACCCATTCAACACCAACATATTTCAAGAATTCATGTTTAAAGGGGAGTTAGGACTATAAAATGTAAAATATATGAAATATAATTTATTTTGAACTTGTTTATGATAAAACATAATGTAAAATTTATGAAAGGAAATTTGATTCTTTCCTTTTTATATAATTGTTTTTTTTTTAGTTTATAATTATTATTAGTTTATAATTATAATAAATGAAATCGTGTCATAACTATATACACTGTGTAAATCGCTTACGAAGACAGCATAACGCTGGCCATGTTCGTGCATAACTCTGCATACCTCTGGCCAAACTTTTGTAAGCCACTAAGTGTCTTGTTGAGAAATCATCTGTTGGGATCGCTAGTTTTTAAAAAAGACGAAATTTTTTTTATAATGATATGAATATAAAAGTGAATTTGATTTCTTATTATTTAATTTGAAATATTTTTTTCTTCTCAAAGGTGACAACAATGAGTGTTTTTTTTTGTTTAGTAGAAAGCAAATTTTGTGATAAAAAATCTGGTACAGAATATGGAGATGTAGTTTTAGAATGGGATTACAAAATTATGAAAGATTGAAATGAAAGGTTTTTTTTTAGAACACATGTAAAGGAATAAATGCAAAACAATTTAGTGAAAATGGATAAAATGGATATTATGTTTGGGAGATTTACATCATCATATATAGTACGATCATTCTGACGTCTCAGTCGTCTCACGTTGACAAATTTTTTTTATTTTAAATAAATGTATCATCTTACTTAAATAAATTTAATTATTGATAAATTATCCGATTATTTATAAGAAATTTAACTATTATACAAAATTTGTATCAAAGTGAATAATTAACAATAAATAGTTCAAAAGAATCTGAAAAATATATTGTAATAAATATGTGAAATCCGTGTAGTTGCTACAGATTTGCAACTACTTCTCACTGTAATGGAAGCATTATTTAATTATTTATTTCTAAACACTGATAGTTTAATTCCAATTCCCATTTATAATAATGATAATGGACTTCTCAGGGAATTTCTCAGTGATAAGAAAGATGCTAAAAATACTAGCGATATGATACTTTGGAGAGTTAATGTCAAGAAAAAAGATATAAAAAGTGGTTCTACCGAATAATGCTGTACATTGTACAAAAACTTCATAGAGAAGAAATAAACAGTTTAAAAGGCTATTTTAAAGATGAATTAGATACTAAAAATTTTGTAGTATCTAACATCCACATTAGACACCGTTTCAAACCAATAGATGCTCGAAGTTATTTAACTACAGATACCTTGTGGAACGCCTTACTGGGAGGACCTGCTTTAACGCGAAAAAAAAGAAATCAGACTAAATTCGATGCAAATATCTAGTTCGAGAGGTAAAACATTGGAAGACACTTACCAGTGGCGGGATTATGGTGAAAAAAACTCTAACAAGTCTCTTACTTATTATTGGTTCTAGTAGGTCCTAACTGAAACGATGTTACTTCTATCTACGAGTGGATACAACAATTCAGGACGTGGTAAAAACTGAGTATGTCTTTTAGCTTTGTTATCTTTTCAATTATTAGTTCCTCTGGCTAAAATTGAATTGACCTTTCAGCTCGTTAAAACCTTTGGTAAAGACTTTGAACTTCATCAACGAGAAGACACCATCGATACCCTCTGGAATGGTAGCACAACGATATTTGGGATTAAGAGGCGATTTGAACATCGCAATGTGGATGACAAATACTTTCATTCAATCCCCGTCTTAGCCGGTGGACCTGAATTTCTTGATGAAATCGAAAGATCGCTCAGGCATTGTATTAATGAATCTGATAAGAAAATTTACCGCAGCGGCCTCATTTCAAACCCATAATAATAATTTGTGCCATTTTATTATGAAGAATACGTAAACCACATGAGTATATAGTAAAGTAGTATGGTACGATATAATATAATAAGTAAGGTATTATTAATTGTGTACAGGTATGGGTATGATTAGTTATATTATAGACAAAATTAATACTAATTTTATAACTAACTTTTTAACGGTAATTAAATTAAAAAAAGAAGTTTAGTAAGATCGAAAGCATACCTGATACCGGTTAAAATTTCATACCTAAAAAGCAATACCGTAACAAATACATAAGAACATACTCCCGCCTAAACCACATAATTTGTTACGCAATGACAATTATTGATTTATTTAGAGATCGTGTAGTAAAGTCATTGCAATTTAAACATAGGCGTAACCCGCGCGTTAATTTGTTAAATAACTTACTAAGCACATATTTAAAATTGAAGTATTAGACCTTTATTACGCTTATTGTAATCTTAGGTCTTGATCAATATATTATTAATCATGGTGCATGATGCAACTGCTGATATTGATTTTGATAAATTGCGCGATACGACCGATACGTCTCTGAGTTACTCATATTTTGAATAACTTTCTATAATAATTACGTAAAAATTGTTACGCAACATACAATTGAAGGCCAGTCCTGCGGATCAGCCATACTCCTTTAATCAAATCAATCCAATCAATCAATCAATCTGTCCAAATATAAAATCAGCCGCGTATTCATTTTGTGTATAACCCACTGATATTTTTTTTTTATAAATAAACCACTTTTGCACTTTTTTTTTTTAA